CCGGTACGGGGGCAACACCGAGGGTTGCGATCCGTTGCCGGACATGGAAAAAGACAAAAAATAAAAATAAAAAAAAAAATAAAAAATAAAAAATAATAAAAAAAATAAAAAGCCTAGATAATCTCAAGGTGGGAGGTAGTAAGGCTGCAGAGGAGGGAGGAAGAATAGTATATAGTTCTTATTTGGAGGGAGGATGTAGCAATACAGTTCCTGACAGTATAGTAGACGCTTTTAAAAAATATTAGAACAAATGTATCCTGTTTTACTCTATATTGATAGAAAGAAGTAGGTTTAAATATGCTTTAAAGTCTCTAGAAGCATAGAAATATCAGTCTTTCAAACCAATAAAGTCAACAGAGTTAGAGGAATACATGGAACAAAAAAACTCCAAAAATCTAATAAAAGGTGTTTTGGATTTCTTTTTTTTTTTTTTTTTTTTTTTTTTTTTTTGTCTTGGAACTTGAAAGTAAAAGGCAAAAGTGGCTTGCCTGTGAACAGAAGAATGACCTTCAGTAAAGTACACATAAATGGATCTTCCATATGAGAGCACTTGCCCTGCCAGGTGTCAGGCTACTGGGCAAATAAAAGAGAGGTGTGGTATATGTCTTGACCACTGGAGTGACTGGTAAACACACCTCACTTCGAGAAGGAGGAGCCCCAGAGGTCAGATGTTTAGACTAACTTCCAGTGTTTTGTGTTTCTTGCAGATGTTCCCACAAGCCTGTACTTCCAGAGCATGCTGAAATCTCAATGGCAAAACAAGCCCTTTGACAAAATCAAACCTCCCAAAAAGTTTTCACTTAAGCACAGAACACCCATGCCAGGCAGTCTGCCAGATCCATCTCGTAAAGACAGGCACAAGTTGGTCAACTCCTTCCTAACAACAGCCAGTAAGTTTCAGGGAACTAGGGAGTCCTCTGGAGTCCCAGTTATTTTTTTATTCCTTTTATATTCTCAAGTTACCAGTTTTCCATGCCAATATGTTGGGATTGGGAAAGGCATTGACTGATATAAATTCAGCTCACAGTCTGCTACGTCTGCTTGTCGTGGATGCCCTCAGATGGACTTTGGAAGCTATTTCAGACACCATGGATCTTGGGACAAGACCCAAAATGCTCAGTGAACTGTCAAAAATGGCATGGCCTTAGGTCCATCTATGGGTAGGCTGTCTTCTGTAGTCTGGTGTCACATTTCTCTGACTGTGGCTCCCTGTGCCTGTTCTAGCCATTGTACTATTTACTAGAAGCTTCAGTCCTAAAGGACTGTCCTGCTGCCCTGGGTAGCATTGACCTAGATAAAATTCAAGAGCTTGGAACTCAAATAAGAAAAGATTGGAGAGAAAGTATTTCACAGCTCTTTTTCTGTTCCCCTCTTCAGAGCTGTCCCATCACCAAACCCGGCCTGACAGGACTCACAGGCAGCACTTAGACGATGTGGGGGCCGTGCCCATGGTGGAGCGAGTGACAGCGCCAAAAGCAGAGCGCTTGCTCAACCCACCGCCACCTGTGCATGACCCAAACCACAGCAAAATGAGATTGCGAGACCATTCATCTGAGAGAAGTGAAGGTAGGGCCAGGCTTGGCACCTCTACCTGCATTTGCACCTGCACCTGCTCAGGGCTTTTTGGGGCAGCCTAGGCTTCTTTTAATTGCCCCCAGTTTTGTCCTTCACTTTCTAGGAAGGCAGAGTAGGGGGATGCTACTGCTTCTAAATGCGGTTCACTTCTTACTGCTGCAGCAACCTCTGCCCAGCCCCCTACTTCCCATCAATCAGTTTGGTTCACCTTTTTATCCTCTAGGCTTAGAAAGCATTTTTGCCTTTAGTGTGTATTGCTGGCATTCCTAGCTTGTGTTAAAAGTAGAGCTGGTTAAGGTAGCTATGTATTCTTCTCTTTTCTGTTGACTTCTACAGTGTTGAAGCATCACACAGACATGAGCAGTTCAAGCTACTTGGCGGCCACCCACCATCCACCTCACAGTCCCTTGGTGCGACAACTCTCCACCTCATCAGACACCTCCACACCCACCAGCTCTAGCTCACAGGTCACAGCTAGCACATCTGTAAGTACCCATGTGGAGTTGGCCAGACATCCCCTCTGCAGGTTATAGCTCACTTGAGTGGCTCTGGAAGATGGTGTAGAGGGTGGTTTACAAGGCTCCAGGGTATTTGTGGGAGTTGAGCTCATCATGATGTGTGTATCATTTTTAAATCAAAGTGTGGTGGTACTTACCTTCTGTTAAGTTGTTTTCCTTGACTTGTTTTTCGTAGTAGAGAAGGATCTATGCTGAGCCTTCCATAGAAAGCTTGATACAGAGACAAACTCTTAAGGTGGTCTGTTACTATTTAAGATCGGTGGGACTAAATTTAACACAGGAGTTAATATCATGGTCCTAATCCTGTTGGTCCAAGAAGTGCATGAGAAGAGGGATGGATAAAGAAGAGATTAACCATGGGCATTGAAGGCAACATTTGATTTTCTTGTTTTTACTCTACTGGTGAGTGGAGGTAGAGTATTGAGAATAAACACTGGGTGTGTTGGGGTGCTGGAAGGAAAGGAAAAAAGCCGAGTCCATGCTTGGTAGGTGTACAGAGCAGAATTAACAGATCCAACAGGTAGTAGTACCTACGTGTAGTACACAAACATCAGGCTATTTGACACCCCCCTGTACCCCCCAATCACTTTTACAGTACCACACTCCATCCAGAAGGCTGTTTGCACAGCCATTCCAGATACATTTCCATTAATTTCATTTTAATATTTTAATCCCTCAGGATGTGCCCTCTTGAACACATATACCTGTACCTGCTTTGTACGCACCAAAGGGTCCTTTTTAAAATAACAGTAATAGTAATGATAAAACTGCAGCTGTTATGTTATTACTGGCACATAGTAAGTGCTAAGTACTTTACACATGCTATTCCATTTAATCCTGTAATGCCCTTTGGGATGTAGGTGGTATTATGGATTCCTATGTTTTAGTCATGAAAGCTGAGGCTTTCCGAGGTTAAGTAAATTGCATAAGATGAGGCAACTTGTGCAGGTTGTAATTGTGATTCAGACGCAGGTAGTCTGACTGCAGAGCCCAGCTCTCTTACCATCACACTACACAGTCTAAGCCTGGGTAGGGTCATTGTGGAGGTGACTTACGAAGCTCTTTCAGAGCTTAGATCTAGAAACTTCTTAAGAGTGCAGCCTTATAACACCAAGGTCATGGGTGCAGATCCCCATACTAGCCAGTGGTCAAACAAAAACAAAAGCAAAAAACAAAGGAACTTCTTAGCTCACAAAATGTGCTCACTAGGCCCTTGTGATCAGGTAGGAATTCACATTGTTCTCTCTTTGCTCTTATAAATCAGACAATCTTTTCCAAATGGCTTCTTGCTCTTCCCCCTTCTTCACCTCTCACACCTACAGATTTTGTCTGAATAGGTGAATAGTATCCCTCACACACTCAATTATCTACCAGCAAAGGATGTAAAACAGAGGTTAATTCTGATAGAAAATGTGAACTCTGAGATCTAGGACTTGGTGAGTACTTCAGTATTTTTCTCACCTGCCAGCTCTTCTGTGTCCAGAGAATGTTAATTTAGGCCCGGATCATTTGAAATTTTTACTTATTATTTTTTGATTACAAGTTTTGTGTGTAACATCATGCTGACCCTTAAGGTTCTTGTTGCCAAATTTTTTCATAGTATCTGAATTTATTTAATAGTAAGAAGAGTGATAGGCCAAATACTTGGAATCAAGTAGAGAAGCTAGAGGACACTGGAGAAACAGGGTGGGGGCTTGTTGCAGTGCTTCATAAGAAGTGGCTGCATCAGAATCCCCTCGGTGGCTTTAAAAAAAAAAAAGGATCCCTAAGGATTTTGATTTGATAAGAGGGGAGAATCACTGAAGTCCCGTCCCCCCCCCCCTTTTTTAAAAAAAAAAAAACCACTCCTTATCTTACTTCTGATGTACAACCAGGTTTGGGAACCACTTTCCATTACCATCACCTGTTCTCTACCTCTGGCGCTAAATAGGAAAGAGTAGTTAAGTTTGACCAAATGAGTAGCTGACAGAATGGGGGTCTATTCCAGGAGGGTGAGAGGTTGAGCCTGTTGGACAATCCCACAACCTGTTCTAGTCTCTTTCCCTTGAAAGTACTAACAGCAGCCATAAGATTCAGGGAAAATACATACTTGTTTCTTTCAGCAGTTTCACAGTCATTCTTGACCAGGATATAGGGACAGCTGTCTCTCTCGAGGCTTCCTTGAAGTGCATTTCTTATTGTGAGCCATGTAATTTTAGCAGAGATGTGACAGTGGCAGAGGCCTTTGGGTATGAGGTCACTAATCCTCAGCTGCAGAACTCAGCCAGGCAAGATTTGCAAAAGTCTCTTCAACCAATTTGGTTAACCAGTTACCCTAAGTTTCTGAGGTCATGACCATCCAGTCTTATTTGATTAGAAAAGGAAGTTTAAGTGAAAAGGACATTTTGATCACCTGAAATCATAAATGACAGCAGCTGATCATGGCCCAAGAAGTGCTGACTTTTAATATCCTCCGAGAATGCGCCTTCTAGGAACAAAAGATGGAGTTCTTAGTGGCAGGGAACTACCTCTTCCTCATCTTCCTTCACTAACCCCTTCCCCATGGGCCAGCCACACTTGCTGCTTTGGGTGTGAATGTAGCCTCTTAGGTGTTTCCAGCTGTACTGTTGCCATGGCAGCGTGTTTGTCATCCCACTGTTTCCCTCTGGCCTCTCACAGCTCAGTTGCCAGTCTCTGTTTCAGGGTAGGGTATTTGCTATCTGGGCAGAAACTACTAGTAGACTTTTCCTTCCATCTAAGAGACCAAGCCATTTGGTTGCCTGCTTTATTCCTTCCTTGGTCTCTGAGTTACTGTAGATGCCCACTTCCGCCTCTGATATTGGATCTTTGGAAGTCTTATTTTCCCCTTTATCCAGGAATGTGAGGTATAGCCAGGTCCTCCTCTTCAGTTTCTCTTCATTCAGCTCCTTCGATGCAGATAGAACGCTCTCAGCCCTTTCCCGAAGAATAATAGAAAGGGGAAATCACATAAGGCCTAAGCAGATGGTGGGCGCAGATTTAGCTGAAGAGTTGGGATCTTCGAAAAGGAGGTGCTTTCATGACAACCAAGGTTAGATGATCTATTTGAGATGGGCCTATCCTTTGGACATCTTTTAGAATAAGGGAATTCAACTTTTTAACTTGAAGATTCACCAGTAGGCTTAAGCATTGCTTTTAGGGGCCACTATGGGTCTAAGTCATAGACAGGGATAAAAAGGGTGAGATTGGAGGAATTAAAAGCTGGGGCAGTTAATAGAGGTATGCATGGAGGAATAGGAACCCCAACAACTAGACTTCTAGATCCCAGAATACCCACCCCTGTAAAATTCAACAAAAGTCTCTTCACATGAGCCCATGAAGGAAGAGAGTGGCCAGTGGGACTTGTGAATAGGAGTTACTCCTTGGGACCATGTAGTGTTTCTCCCAAGAACTTTTCTATTGGGAGACCATCTCCTAGGTGTGAGGAGTAGCTGCAGTCACTACCTGGCTGCAACCTGAGGACCCAAATGTCCAGTGAATGACCAATCCTGCTTTACGTCTTGGATGAATGATTTGGTGTTTATAGAATTGTGCCTCCCTTTTAAACTTTATTTGTCTTACAGCAGCCGATAAGGAGGAGAAGGGGAGAGAGCTCGTTCGATATTAACAACATTGTCATCCCAATGTCTGTTGCTGCAACAACCCGTGTAGAGAAACTACAATACAAGGAAATCCTTACTCCCAGGTAGAATCCCTGACTAACCTCCTCTCCCCATTCTTCCTGTTATTGTTCTTTTTCTCTCTTCTCTTCTGATCAAGCTTTGGGCCCTAGCCTTGGGTTCTGTCTTCTCATTAAGAGAAGGTCTTACCTGATAGGAGTGAAATTATTTCTGTATATAATTCTCTCTCATTCCATTATATGAATACACCAGCCAGACCAGAGATCACAACCTGACAGGCCACTGGCCATTTTTGGTCTGTAAACATGTTTTGTTAACACATACAATGTGTTTAAAAATACAGAATTTGTTGTCAGTATCAAAGCAGGATTTCACATATAAATCTTTATTTCCAGTTTTTGTTGACAAATCAGAAGATTGGGCAACCCCGTATATATATATATATATATATATATATATATATATATATACACACACACACACACACACACACACACACACACATTCCCATATGGTAGTAATCAACTGGTGCTGAATAGTGATGGTCCCTTTTAAACAGGTTACTTTGTTTCAGTTGTCACAGGCTCCCAACCCTATCCCCAGCCTGCTTCTCCTGTTACTGGCCCTTGTGGGCATTTGATATGGGGCCTCTTTCAGAGGCCTCAACGTGTAAGGAGGCTGCGTTGTGATAGGGCAGAGCCTGCCCAACAGAGAGGAGCGTCATCCATGGGTGCAGGGCTCTCATACTTGCATGGACTTGTTTATCCTGCCCGAGGCTTCAGCCTGCTTGCCATCTCATAATTGTCCCTTCTTGGTTTTGCAGCTGGCGGGAGGTTGATCTTCAGTCTCTGAAGGGAAGTCCTGAAGAAGAGAACGAGGAGGTAATGGCATGGTCATTCTTTCTAGAAGGACACACACGCACACACACATGGGCACACACTGCAGGATGCCTTAAGACCTGTGGGTTTCAAGTGCAAGCTCCTTCTACAAGGATACTTCAGAAAGTTCATGAAAAGATTTGTATGTTTTAATTCCATTTTTCCATGAACTTTTAAAAGTACCCTCATATTCCTGTCCTGACCAGGAAGAACCTAGAATGGAGTGTGGCTGGTTCTATAATTGATCTACCCATACTTAAACTCAGACTCCTGAAGGAAAAAGGGGATCAATAAAGCTGTTCTATTGCAGATCGAGGACCTATCCGATGCAGCCTTCGCTGCTCTGCATGCCAAATGTGAGGAGATGGAGAGGGCACGGTGGCTGTGGACCACGAGCGTGCCACCCCAGCGGCGGGGCAGCAGGTAATGGGGCAGGCACAGGTCCTCAGGGCCTGTGGAGGGAGGGTGGTCAGGGAGTTTGGGCCCTACCTGTGTCCACAGAATTGCCATTGCCTCTTGGTTGTGCTTCATGTTCATCTACTGGCCATGGCCAGGACAGAAGTTTCTTGAGGTATTAGTCATCGAATACTTGCTGAGTGGTCACTGTCTGATTTTGACAAATTCCAGTGATCTGTGGCATTTGGAGGCTGGTTGTAGGTTATGGTGATTTTGCCAGAGGAATTTTTAAGGCCTCATCCAAGTTAACCCTTCTTTGGACAGTAGATTGTGATTTTTTTTGGTTCTACTTAAAAGAGCTTAATTTCACTATTAAGCTGCCAAAATTTTTAAAGCAAATATTTCTGGGGTGGGGAGGAAGCATGAAAAAAGCATCCCCACTTAATATCACTATCCTGTTTCCATCCAGCAATCCATTTATTGATTGATTGATTGGTGGCCTACTTACATATCACTACCTGTTTCTATTGATTGATTTATTGGCAGCTGGCTGGTATGAAGATCTGAACCCTTGACCTTGGTGTTACAAGGCAGTGCTCTAACCAACTGAGCTAACAGGCAAAGCCGCCCCCCCCCTCCCCCCCCATTGTTAACAATGGCATAAACTCCTAGGATTCTCAAGTAGAACGCTTAGGGGCTCTCACTTTTCTTTTTTTCATTGACTAGTTTTCAGTATCTGGACTGATTTCCCTACCCCCATGAATTCACTAGGCACTGTGCCAGGGATTAGCCACTGGCATTGTTCAGACATGGCTCTCTTGGGGGTGATGGTAGAAGTATGCAGTTCTTAGATGTCATATTGTGCACCTACCCCTCCAGGCAGCAGTGGGAGGAAATGGGATTTGCCAGATCCTAGGAAAAATCTGTTGGTGTCAGTCTGCCTGAGCTCCTCTTGTGGGGATGCTTTTTTCATGCTTGCTCCCCACCCCCAGAAATATTTGTTTTTAAAATTTTGGCAGGTGGCCCAACAGGGATCTGAACATTTGATCTTGGTGTTATAACATTGCAGTCTAACCAGCTGAGCTAACCAGCCATCCCCTCACCCCCAGAAATAAACAGACAAGACGTTCCCTATTAACTCAGGCACTCAGATTTGCATTTCTTGGTTAACAGGTCTTATAGGTCATCAGACGGCCGGACAACCCCTCAGCTAGGCAGTGCCAACCCCTCCACCCCCCAGCCTGCCTCCCCTGATGTCAGTAGTAGCCACTCTTTGTTGGAGTTCTCCCATGGTCAGTCCCCCAGGAGCCCCATTAGCCCGGAACTGCACTCGGCACCCCTCACCCCTGTGGCTCGGGATGCTCTGCGACACTTAGCCAGTGAAGACACCCGTTGTTCCACGCCAGAGCTGGGGCTGGATGAACAGGTGAAGGATACCGCCTTTGTATGGGGTTGGTAAGGTGGGGGGATGGAATTGGGAAGGGACAGCACCTGCTGAAGATGGATCTTCATCTTATAACCCCCCTTCTGTTTTGAGGGAACAGGGCCTGCATTTGAAATTGACCTTCTGAAGGTATAAGGGAACTGTATTGGCCATTGTTAAAAGGGTGTCCACCTTCTGAGGGGTAATCCCCAACCACCCAGGAACTCTAGATGGACTGGTCCACAAGTTTTGTGGCAGGGCCTTGGGGCAGGAAGCAAACTGGGACTGGGTCCTCACCAAGGCATCTTGTCTGCCCACAGTCCGTCCAGCCATGGGAGCGGCGGACCTTCCCCCTGGCGTACAGTCCCCAGGCAGAGTGTGAGGACCAGCTGGATCCACAGGAACGGGCAGCTCGCTGCACTCGGCGCACCTCAGGCAGCAAGACTGGCCGGGAGACGGAGGTGGCACCCACCTCGCCTCCCATTGTCCCCCTCAAAAGTCGGCATCTGGCGGCAACAGTCACAGCTCAGCGCCCAACTCACAGATGAGCAGGAGACAAGAATCTAAACAGACTAACTATTGGCATTAAAGCTTCAGAAATCTCTGCGTTTGATATTCAAACATCATATGCTGGAAATTTTCACAGTTTTTAGTGAATTTAAGGAATTTAGATTCTACTTTGGTTTTTTTTTTTTTTTTCTTATTTTGATTTTTGTTTTGTTTTTGTTTCCATGTTTTCTTGTCACACACCTGAGCACTTCCTCCAGTTGGCAAACAGAAGTTCAGGATAAGACCCTGCTGACCTGGTCCTGGCACATCCTCTGCACAGTTAAATCACTGGACTTACCAATGTTGGATGACCACCCCTCTCCCTCGCATCTGTGGGCAGGGTAGGAAAGACAGGTGGGCAGAGGGAAGGCCAAGCTCCAGTGTAGCATGGCCTTCTTAGGTTAGGGTGGGACAGGGCAGAGTGCTCTGGGTCGTCTCCCCCACCTCCCCCCCCCACCTCCCCACCCAATCTGTGGCTTGTCTCAGCTCTGGCCTTCATGGCTTGGTCCTCCTTGACTTTTTGTGCTGAAGTATCCCCACCAGAGCCTTTTTGCCATAACAACCAGCTGCTCTCACTGAGTTCTCAGCCAGCAGAATGGCTTCCCCTTGTCACCCAGATGTTGGTGACTTGTTTTCAGTTTCATCTGCATTTGGTCATTTCTGTCTTAACTCCTTACTGCAGTAACCTGACTGCGGCTGCTCAGGTCCCCCATCCTGCTCCTTTGTACCCTTCCCTGTCTGTTTTCCCTTGCCATGTGCACACTCAACACACACCAGTCCTACCCGGGATGTACTTACCACCTGTCCTGTTCTATGAAGGTAGGGATAGGACTACTCAACTTCTGTTCCCGCTCCCCTGCCAACTAGGGGGTTTGGGAAGTGAGCAGCCATCTACCCTGTGTAATTTTGTTTTCCCTGTCAGTGTCAGTTAGCTTCTTCCTCCTTTGCACTCCCCTTGCCTGTGGAACACTGTCTGGTCCTAGCTGTGGTTTCCATCACCCTCCTTTGTTAACCTTGTGCCTGTCTCATGTATAATCACATCACCAAAAAGGGGGCAGGGGGGAAGGACTTTTTTTTTTTTTTTTTTTTTTTTTTGGTGCCATTTTGTAATCGTATAAAAATAGTAGACAAACTGCTTAATGGTTGGGGTTTTTTCACAATTTTCAACATTAGTGATTTTTTTGGGGGGGGTTCTGTTTGCAAGTTAAAAGGTTTGTCATTGTTTCTTTAAAAAACAATAATGCACCATATCCCTATGCATAAAGTGCTTCTTCTATTTATAAGGTTGAAAATTCTGAATAACCCTTTTAGCATTGTAAAAAACAAAAAAAAAATGAAAAAAAAAACACTTGTATTTTGTAAATATTTTCTTTTCCTGCTTTGAGCTGTGTAATGGCAGCGAAACATGTAGCTGTCTTTGTTCTTTAGAAATGCTTTTCTTCAGAGAAGCTGATCTTTGTTAATGTCTTGATTCTGTTCGCAAAGCACAGACTAGTGCTTTAAAAAAAAAAAGAAGGAAAAATTGAAAAAAATAATAAAAAAAAGAGTTACAGAATGTGTGCCAGTCCTTTCTTGACATACTGGACTGGGTATATACATGCTGGTTGTGGCTTCAGAGCCAGCTCTGCCAGAGCCCTTTGGGGTTTTCTGGCTTGCTCTGAACCTTGGGAAGTTCCATTCTGTCTACTGGGAACGTGGCAGAGTCATCTGATGGTCACCAGAGGGAGGATGAGGTGATTTTTCACTAAGGGAAGGGGTGCCAGGAGGAGAGGGGATCTGCATAAGTCATCTTTTTCTTTGTTGAGTGAAAGTAATTGATCCATTGCCTCTTGGTGTTCCTTTCTCTAATGAGGCCAGCAGTATGATATATTCTGTCTATTGTAAATTGCTCTTTAATGTAGATTTAACTTCTCACCGTTGAACTTTTCTGGGGTTGGGGATCAGTGAGAAAGCATATCGTTTGCGTAGATCCTGGGTTGGTTCTTGCCTGATACCTGAGATTATAGCATCTTTCTTCTGAGGAGGCTAAGTGCTTGATTTTTTTTATTCAAGATAAGTGGGTGGGCCTAGTTATTTTTCTCTTCTGTCTTTCCTTTTCATGGCAGGCAGGCTGAAACTGGCAGTGAGGCTATGAAAGCTGGGCTTTTTGAGACAGTATTTCTCTTTGGCTGGCCTGTTGCTTCTATAGTTGCAGTCAAGGGCTGGCCGGTTACTTGGTTCTTAGAGCATGGTGCTGGTAACACCAAGGATATTCCATACTGGCCAGCCACCAAAAATATATATATATATATGTGTGTGTGTGTGTGTGTGTGTACACACAACCACACAGTTGCAGTCAAGAACTGCTCTACTTAAGCATCTGCCTGCAGTGGCTAAATACATCAGGAAGAGCTCAGAAAAGTTATATTTTGAAACTAAAATCTAAGGATTCAGTATCATGACCTTAACTAATTACTAAGGAATAATAATATGATGGGTTACCATTTTGTTTTTGCTTTCCTTTGTGGCATTGCTAGGGAGAAGCTGTCTGGTATCCCTATGTTGGTTTAGTAGAAATATTCCTCAGTCTATAATAGGGCTCCTCCAAAGGAAAGAGGAAGGCAGTATGGAAGCCTGGAAGGGATCTAAGCCATTCATTCAGCTGATTAGCGTGGTGTCCTGCTTCAACCCCAGACTTCTAATTTCCAGGGACAAAAGATCTCATACACCCAGCCCCAACCTTCTCGGGTTGGAATACACTGGAGTCAGTCTTAAGTACGGCATTGTGAACTCTGCCACAAGGATGTTTATTGCCCTTTGAGTTGGAACAGAATGGTTTGCCTGCACCAGAAATAGAGAATCGACTGAAAATGAACAAGTCTGAGGACTCCTTTCACCTTCAGGTCCCCAGAGAGACTTGTTAACCCTGATGCTCACCTCTTAGCAATATTGCCATTTCCTATTCTGAACTAAAGTCTCTAGGGGTGAGGAGGAACTTGAAAATTATGCATCATATGTCATTTTCCATGAACAGAGATCTTTTTAAATCAGAGTAATAACTTTATTTTCAAATTCACTTTTACAGCAACAGTGTAAATCGTTTGTTAAAACACACAATACACTATATGGACATTCACAGACAGGAAGCTAAGCTAATAAGATTTCGTGTCCCTCCCCCCACCCTCAAAATTACGGAAGAAATCATGGGACTTTCAAGTGCCAGAAATTGTCCTGCCCAACACTGCAAATTCATGGGGCTGAGTCTGTTAGGAGGTGAGACTGGGTCAATGCCCAGAGTAACCCTTTTCAAAGCCAAAGAGAAATCAGAAGTCTCGAAGCCAGTGGACTTTCAAGTGCCAGAAATTGTCCTGCCCAACACTGCAAATTCATGGGGCTGAGTCTGTTAGGAGGTGAGACTGTGGGTCAATGCCCAGAGTAACCCTTTTCAAAGCCAAAGAGAAATCAGAAGTCTCGAAGCCAGACCTGTAGATGGGGCAAGCTGATGATCACACTTGCCCTCATCTCCACCTCTTGGCTGTACTAGGGAACAAAGATAGGGAGGGTGAAGGAAGAAATCTTGGCAGCAGCTGGAAGTATGAGCTGCATGTCTGGAGCTGGTGGGAGAGGTGACAGGTGATACCGAGTTGCCAGTGGCTTAGAGGTAAAGGTGCTAGGGTCTTTGGGAGGCATGGTTGTAGGCTTGGGACCCCACAAGAGAACAGCAGGCCAAAGCAAACCAGCTCTCCAGATTCCTACACAAGCCTCACTGTCTGCACTTGGCTGGGAAAGGAAGGGGAACTAGCTGGCTTCCTGCTGCAACTAGGAAAACCTGTCAGTGGGAAAGCAAAGCCCCAGGGACCTCTAGCCCCATGGCATCTCCCTCTCTAGCAAAATCATGAAGAAAAGGGTTACAAAGCAGTTTAACTGCTGCACTCCATGACCTCCCTTTGCCCATGTTAACTATCTTATACATTCTTCCCCCCCACCCCACCCCCAGCACAACAATCAATTGCAAACAGGATACAGTCTCACCATTGAAGTCAATTGAAATGTAACTATTGATAAAGTGAATGGAGAACTTGAAGAAACCAGGCATATATCCTGTCTAGACCACCCAGGGACACTGGCTCTGGAGGTGGGGAAAATGGGGGGAGGGGAGGAGTGCCCAGACCTGAGGAATTATCCTCATTTAAGGTTAAAAGCCAGCATCCCTTTGCAATCTACCTGCCAGCGGTGACCTGATCAACCCAAACCATGATCTTTGGGCTGACCCTAATAGTCTACCCCATAAAGGAGATTCCAGAGCCCTCCGTATAAGGCCCATGGTGCTGAAGAGAAGGGCACAGGAATTGCAGGAAGAGGAAACAAGAAGAGGTGCGAGAAGAAAATGCAGCCAAAATCAGTGGCAGTAATGAGGGGTCACACCTCTAACCCCCACAAACTTTTTACACCACATTTCTTTTTTCCTCAGAACACTTCACTTCTGAGAACAGCTGGGACTCAGGACAGTGGGGATCCTCAGGGTGGAAAGTTCTGGGCCCAGATAATTCCTTGCCTGGAAGGATCTGCCTATATATGAAGCCTCCAGCCCTGGGAGGAGGCCCTGCACGCCTACCACCCAGGCCCCCAGGGTTATCTTTAACTGTACCCAAAGTGGAAGTGGCAGAACTGGGCCTGAGGCTGCTGAATTTCTTTAAACAGCATTTTTCTGCAAAGTCTGCTTCTCTTTCTTTCCCCATAACAGCACTTGGAGCTGGTGCAAAATCAGCAGGCTGACAATGCTTTGGCCAAGGCTTTGGGAATAGTGGCTCCTGACTTTTCACCCTTCCTTAGTCATCTCAGGCCCCTGGAGCCTGTCCAGGACTGGCAATCCATCCCAATCCCTGCTGTGGCTATAGGGCCATTAGTGAGGAGGTGCAGGCTGTTGCCCCTGAGAGCTTGGAGAGGGAGCCCAGGCTGAGGGATGGGCTGCCTAGAAACTCATGGAGGTCTGAGGACTGCACATCTCTCCCCAGCTGGCACAGGCTTCCTTTTTCTTGTGATACGGGAGTTGTAAGACCCTCTTTCAGGGCTGCTGTGGGACTTCTCCAGGGTGTGACCCGAGAGGACCATGTTCATGCTGCAAACCAGGCCAGCCACAAGCCACCTCTCTGCCCTAACAAAGGGATCCCTGGGGGGTGGGGGGGTGGGGGAGGGGGACACCATAGCCTCTGTCCTAATCCTGTGCTTCAAGCTTTCTTCACAGCAGAGGGTGGGTGGTCCTCAGATGTCAGAATCTGGTCTCTGTTGGGTCCCAGATGTTGATGAAAACCTTTCAAAACTTGGGAGGCCCCAGCACGGTAGACAACACTGGCCTCCTGGAGCCAAATGCCAGCATGGGGGTGAGAGACATCGAGGACCCCCACGAGGGTGGGTTTGAGACCTCTTTACAAGCATTTCAAGGTACATGCGTCTTTTTTTTTTTTTTTCTTTCACTGTCATAATCACTCTGGTGAATCCGAGCATAAACAGACAAATCCAACTAGAATGCAACAGGGTGCAGACAGGGAGGGAAGGGCGTCTACATACATGTTCAGCTGCTCCAGCAGAACAGACATTGCTTTTCCAGCTGGGACTCGGGGGGGAGAACCATTTCTGAGGCAGCATGCTCTCCTTTTGGGGGTGTGGAGGGCTGATTTTATGCATATGGAGTTGAATAGTGGGTAGGCTCTCGGAGACTGGCAGTCACAATCTGGGATGGAAGTAGGGGACAGGAGTGTGGTCCTGCCCTGAGAGCCTTGCCTGCCCATCCCAGTGCCATCACAGGCCACCAGGATACTGACCTCCTGCTGTAACACAGGAAGTGGAACAGGCCTCCTGGGAGGAAAAGGCTCTCTCTCCAATCGTATAACTTCGTGCCCCACACATCTAACCTTTACTGAGAAGGGGGTGGTAAGGCTGGGAACCTGGGACAGTGTGACATAATGAAGGGTAGAGGCAGTGACTGGGCTCTCATGGCAGACACGTGGCATGGCGGGGCGGCATGCAGTGGCCATGGGAGGGACGGGAGGCTCAGGATCCACTTCCCAGACCCCCCGCACACTCCAGAGATGCTGAGGCCCAGGCTTGGGAACAGGCAGATGTCCAAGAGGCACAAGTCCTTACAAAGAGAACTGGTTAGCCCTAAAGTCCCAAGTCTGTGAGGTGGCCAAAACTGTGGCTGCAGTTCCAACTTTCAGAACTCGATAAAACAGGGTTTCCGTGGGGCAGAGGGAAGCCCCTCAGCTCAGGACCCCCACCCTGTAGGGAGGGAGAAAGAGGCCAGCGTTCTCGGACATCAAGGTCAGTCTTCTCCAAAGAAGTGATCCGCAGGGTGCCACCCTCCCGCCGACCTTCCTGCTCCTGCTGCCCACTGTCCCTTCTCCCACAGGCCGCTCTCTGCAGCTGGCACACCGACCCACAGCAGACCCCAGGGCCACCAAGAACTGAGATTGCTGTGGGTGGCCGAGGCCATTTGCCGTTCCTGCTGCGTTCCCAGCGCGGTCGGCAGTGGGTAGTGTCTCCCATGGCGTTTCTTACTCTCCCACTCCACCCCCTTCCCCCCCCCGCCCACCTCCTGCCTCGACCTCCCCCGTGACCCCCACCCCCAACTCACTACACTCACACAAGGGTGACCTCATCTGCCTGTAGCTCCACAAACACACCAAGTCTCAGATCCTTTGTTGCTGCCACTGCGTCTGATACCCCAGGAGGCGGAGGCGTCCCCAGTCCCTTGAAGTTCCCCAGAGGTGGCTTTAAAGCCTCTCTTCCCTCTTCTACCCAGAGGGGGCGAAAAAAAAAAAGAATCAAATGGAATTGCCCGAGGAAATGTTGGGTGTGGCCATGTTTTTAAATGTTTTTTAAAAATATTTTATTATTAGCCCACCCATCAATTTGGAAAGCTGCAATTTGCTCTTATCCCCATCACTGATTTCGAAGTGCCGAGCCTAAGCAGGTCCGTGGTGACCTGAATGACCGATCTGTGCGGAGCAGCTGGGGGAGGGCGAAGGGCGAAGGGCGGAGGGCGGAGGGCGAAGGGCCGGGGCGTTACTCTTTTTTCCCACACTCTCTCACTCTCTCTTCTCCGCGATTACTGACCGCCCCGCAGGCCTGATCACAAACCCTGCTTGGCCAGGGAGGCGGACACCTCGTCGGCGAGCGTGGCCAGCTGCGGCGAGTCTACCATGTCGATGCTGCCGGTGGACGACACGTTGCTGAGGTGCCGTGGAGACGTGTCCCCAGACACCACGGGCGACTTGTACACAATTTCCGCCCCGTGGTCAGTCTTGGCTTTGGCGTTCTCGCGGAAGGTCAGCTTGTGGGTTTCAATCTGCAAGGAAAGAGGGGGGAGCGGGGATGAGAGAGGAAGGGGGACAAGCCCGGCCACCTACCCCACGCCCAAGTCTGGCCTTCGGTGGGAGGGTGCTGAGTCTATGGTCTTCCAACTGGTAGTACTTGTGCACGGTCCTCCCCTCCCCTGTCTCCCAGCCACCCAGTCCCCTTCCCCAGAGACAGTGACCATGACAAGCTTCTGGCATACCCTCCAGAGACATTCCACACACGTACACACAAATGTGCACGTGAGTACATACAAGGGTACTTCAAACCGTTTGTGGAAAAACAGAACTGAAAGATAACATGAATCTTCCCGTGAATTTTCTGCAGACCGCTCGTGCGTGTATATATATTTCTTACCACATGTGGCAACAATGCACACATGCTTTGCACCTTGGCTTCAAAATTAGTACCCTCCGTTATCAACACAAAGAGCGTTTCCTGGTGCTTAGTATTCCATCGCAGCAGATGTCCAAAATGTATCTGCTCCCCTGTGGATGGATATTTAGGCTGTTCCAGCCTTTTGCTGTTACAAACAATGCAGTGTCTGAATAACCTTAAATAACCTGTAGGCACACCATTTTGTGCATGTGTAAGAAGTGGAGTTGATAGGTTAAAAGGCATGCATGTGTTATTTTGATAGATATTGCCAGATGGCAAATGGAAGTGCTGAGGAGAAGTGGGAGAAGATCAAGGGACATCACCAGAGCCACTGAAGCCCAGCCATAAGCCACACTCATTCCCTGTCTTTGCCAGCAACCGTGGGCAGCACCAGCAGCCATGCTAGCAACACGGGCCATGAAGCCCTTTTTTTTTTTTTTTCCTTTTTGTCTTTTTTTACTGACCGGTAAAGGGATCGCAACCCTCAGTGTCGCATTGACCAGCAACGGGATCGCAACCCTCGGTGTTGCGCCCGCACCGCGCTCAGCCAGTGAGCGGGAACCGGTCTCCACATGGGATCTGAACCCTCGGCGGGAGCGCCGCCGCACTCCCAAGCAGTGCACTCTCCAGTGCACCACCGGGCCGGCCCAATGAAGCCCTTTTTTTAAAGCAGAGAAGCAATGACAAGCCAGGAGTCCCAAAGGGTACCAGAAACTCAGAAGCAGACAGCATTACGTGGAGATGCGAGTAGTGCGTAATAACAACACAGTAATTCTCAACCTTTTTCAGGTCCTAGGCTCTTTGAGCATCTGGTGAAACCAGAAAAATGTGTACATGTGAAAGCCCACACTTGCACACAAGTGATCATTTTTCCATGCAATTTCAAGAGTCCGTGGACCCCCAGAGAAGAGCCCCTATTGCAGGGGGCTTGAATGTGGGTATAGAGAAAAACCAGGTTCCCATGTAAGCTACATTCATATTTTGCTCATTTTAGGTCACTGCTTTGAAAAAGGGACTCCTCCATATTACTGTATCGACAGGCCATTTAATATAAGCTTTGTTAAGAACATTCATGTTAATGTTTCTAAAAAACTTGGTTTCCTAAGAAAAAGGTGACAGATTTCTAGGAATGTCCCCAAATTCCCCAAACTGAAAGGAACCCAAGATGCTGGTCATGTGCCCACTGCTTGTTAGCAATTTTGCTCGTCACACTAGGAAAATGTGGGGATCCCCTGGGACCGGGACAGTGACTTCTGAGGGGAGGTCAGGGACCTGCCCACGCTTTCTGAGCCATCACAGAGATGAGTTAGAAACAGAAGGAGCCAAGTTTAGACTCAGACTTGGCTCTAACTCATGTTCTCTGGTACAAGGTACCAGGCACCTTCTGGAACATTGTCTCCTTTGGGCGGGCCTAGTACCACCATGGTACATAGGTATTTCTATCCCATTTTGCTGAAGGAGAAACTGAGGCTGAGAGCGCTTACATATCTTGCCCAAGTCACTCCTCCAAGCAGAGTCAAGCCTAGAGCTTTCCAGAAGCTTCCAGAGACTGGGGAGGCCTTCCTTCACCCAGGCACCAATGCCTAGGCCGTAACTGGAACTATTCAATCAGACTCTCTGGGGGTGGGGCCAAGCCTGGGAATCTTTAAAGCACCCCAAGGCTGGGAAACCCTGCCTTATACCAGGCTGGGTGATGGAAACAGCAGAGCTCTGGGCTTTTACAGAGGACCTTCTCCAATTCCCCAGGAACTGCGTCCTGCCTCAACTTCCCTTGAGGCATGCAGCCTCCTGGTCCCCCCGTTTTCTCACTTTTGATAGGGACCCAGGCACTGAGAATTGTTCCTGCACCTTAGGGAGCCGTGTCTGTAGAAGCATGACAGAAACAGCCACTTTAGGTCCACCTTGGGGTCCAGGAGACCAGAGGGGGTGCTGTGGGGAGCCAGAGAGCACAAGGCCATCTACAGGCCGGTTGCCCTCTCCTCCCCTTAGCCTTGGGGGGCCCTGTTTGCAGGGTGAGGTCTGTCCTGAGGTCTCAGTTTGCAACGTGTGCTTTAAGACCATACCAGCAAGTGCTTCTCCCCAAAACTACACTGTTGGACATTTACTGCAAACACAAGATGGGGCGTGCCTTCTGACCAGCTGGGCCACTTAGGGCAACTCACTTTTTCATGTGGGTTGGGCCTCAGATTCTACACCCACTCTGGGACATCCCTTCTCCCTCTGCCACTCCCCATTCAGCTGCTGGGAGGCACAAAGGCTGGAAAGTGAGCCACTTCCAGAACTTCAGCACAGGCATCAGTGGGAAACCCAAGAGGCTCTTGGGCTGCATTTATGCAGAAGAGAAAAAGCAAAGCCACAGGACCGCATCCTGTGCTGGGCCCAGAGGGGGCCGCATACCCGCTTGTGCCCCACCCCCACAACAGACAGACACCCACAGCAAGACCTGAAGACCCTAGAAGCTGCTGGGAACACCAAGGTCCAGCAGCCTCCTCCTGGACACTTCCATGACAGACAGGCAGAGACATCTCCCATGACATGACAGAAAGGCTTTGCTGAAATCTGGATTTCAGCATCATTGTTCTGCTCTAACTGCCTAGTAACCCATTTAGAAAATTAGGTTATGTTCCCATGACTTGTTCTTGGCACACCAGAGCTGACTTTGGGGATGGCTACTTCCTTTTGTTGGTGCTTACAGACCCCAGGGCCTTTGACTGCACTAAAGATTCACCTGGGAGCTTTAAAAACACCAGCTACCCAGCTGCACCTGTGACCCATTAGTCAGACTCTCCAGATGGGGCCCAGGCATCAAATCTGTGAACGGTCCCAGGAAGTGCAATGGGTAGCTGAGCTCTTGACCCACTGTCCTGGGTGTTGCTGAGAATCCATGTCAAGCTGGTCAATACAGGATCCTCCACCTTCCTCCTTTGGAAAGCTGGATCAGACTTTGTCCAGCCAACTTGATTAACACCCATATCCAGAGGCAGCCTCTTCCCCACCTTGTCCCTTTTACCTTTTTATTCCCTCCACCAGGGACATGGGTGATGTTATCCAGGGACCCGATCTTCGACTGGACTCGATCCTTGAAGTCCAGCTTCTCAGATTTTACTTCCACCTGGCCACCTCCTGAAACACACACAAGAACATCTTGCCATCTCCTTCCATGGCTTAGTGGACTTAGCATATATTAAATGAGGTCTGCGGTCTACAGACGAAGTGCCATGGGCTGCTAAGGGCACAGCAAAAGTGAGGATAGGTTCTACTGCTCTGGAGGGGAGTAGACAATGACATGACTTTCTGGTTTGCACTGTGATTTGAGCAAGGGCTAAGGAAGTGACTCTAAGTAGAGACCAACCTTTAGGAATGGGTAAGACTTTCCTTTATCTAGAATGTAGTTTGGGTGCAACTAAGTCCTTGCAAAGGCTTGAAAAACAATTCGCTTCCTCTCTATCACCAAGGTGGGCATCAAATATTTACTCTGCAAACTCTTCCTCCTTAGACAATGCAAAGGTAAATGACAGCTCAGTCCAGGAGAAATGATCCTAAATTCTGAACTGGTTGGCTTTCAACAAGTGAAGTCTTTCTATAGCGACATCCTGTAAACGGCGGCCCCACAGGAACTTGGAATTAAATTGAATGTCAAAATGCACACTAAATAAGGAAGACCGACCCTTCCTCCTCCTCGGCCCTTGACGCCACACCCAAGTGTGGGACACGGCAGGGCAAGAGAGGACCCACGTTACTTTCCTGGGAAGGGTGAAGGAAGCTGCTCACAGCGTGCGAGGAGGTACCTTTTGTGGGACACTTTTCTCTGGGAGAGACTAAGCTGCCACAAAGTATCCCAGAGCCAGCAAATAACGGGACACATGTGGACCAAGCTTCCGCTGCCTTCTCTTCCCACAGTAATGGTTCAAGTATAGGCCTCTGCCCTAAACAGGTCCGAAGGCAGAAATCCTTGCTCTGGACCCTCAGGTGGGAGTTAGAATCTGTACCTGTGACATCCAAATGTGTGCAACTAGCCATGTGTGGCTACTTGCAATTTAACTAAAATTAGTTCAGTTCTTCGGCTGCACTAGCCACATGTCAAGTGCTTGATACCCCCCCATGGCTAGTGGCTGCCATATCGAACAGTGCAGATCCACAGTGTGGGACACGGAGGCACAGTAAGCACGGGCAGCTCCAGCAGCAGCATTTTCTTTTCTTTTTTCTTTGTTTTGTTTTGGCAGCTGGCTGGTAAGGGGATCTGAACCCTTGACCTTGGTGTTATCAGCATCATGCTCCAACCAAGTGAGCTAACTGGCCAGCCCAGCATCATTTTCTGTTACAAAAAAGTCACAATAAGGCCACAACAATGGCCCAGGGGTCCCGTGTTGTAGCTGATGCAGCTGGAGAAGTGTGCCTCACGTGGGCTGGGAACGAAGCTGGGATATCCACATAGCTGGCCTTCAGGGCCCACCGCCAGCCCCAGAAGCCCTGTGTGCAGCCGGCTCGGAGACCCATGGGTTAGGGTTTAGGGCCAGCCTCCTCCCAACTTCTTCACCTTGTCTTGGCCAGCAGGAGCCCGCTCAGGAACAAGCCGAGGTAACCAGGCCTCCCAGGCCCAGCACGTTCCACACTCAACACTCTCCTTGACGGCATCTGACAAATGCTTCCAGCCGCTTCAGAAGGCACCACCCTGACAATCCTGACCTGCCGCACCCCAGCACCTTCCTGTCCCGACCCTCGCCTTCCGCAGGGGCTACCTGGTTTATGATGGATGTTGCCTAAGGAGCCACACTTGGAGGTCACCTTGCTCAGGTCCACTGGTTTGTAGACTATTTGCACCTGGAAATGAGAGAGGATGAAAGAGACAGAGAGAATAAATAGGATTACTTTATTATGAGTATAACACAAGGAAAAGCATCTGTGTACGCCCAGGCCCTGCTTGGACAGTGGTTCTCGTCTGCCACGAGGAACACACCCTAGTCAGGGTGGAGCCAACCCTGCCCCAAAGGAGCTGGGTCTTCGCAAAATAGCTGTGGGATTGCAGTGTCTTCAATCCCCGCAGAACAAAAGACCCTCAGGGAAAAACAGGGACACTTTGTCATTGCACAGGGCCCATGCCATTTGTCTGGCAAACACTTAAATGTAAAAAAGTCACCCCCTTTCCTGACATGAAGTTGACAGATCACACTCGGTGAAGACATAAAGAAAGAAGTGGTCAGTCTGATCAGCATGTATGGCGTTGGAACAATCTGGATGGAAAGGCAGGAGAGCTGTATCTGCTGGGCCTTGAGGAAAGGGCGGTGTGAGGATTGCTGGCAGTGACAGGTTAGCAAGCAGGACCCAGAGCAGTTCAGCGACTCAGAGGCCAGAGCCAGCTGGCCCCTGGGCACAAAGTGTCCTGGACATTTCAGTCTTTACCAAAAGAAGCAAAAAGACACAAACAGGACGGGCAGGCAGCACAGTGCATACCCACAGATTTAGTGTCTCGGCAAGCGTGGGAGGCTCAACACATGTCGGGAGGCGCCTGAAGGTCCCGTGTGTGCCGGCCGTGCTGCCCACCCTGCAGGCTGCCGCTGAGCTCAGCCCAGGACCCAACTCCCCCATGGGGGTGCCCTCATGGGGCCTCTTTAGTGGCAGATGGGTCTCCTGGAGGCAAGTCTCTACAAAGTCATGGCCACGAGGGGGACCTGGATGGCCTGTCCCCCATGGGGAGTCACCTGGAAGTGCAGGAGGCCAATCACCACCAAGCTGGCTCACGCTCCCTGCCCTGGAGGCTACCCAGAGAGAGATGGCAGAGAAAAAGGAGGGGTTTCTACTGAGGTCTATGCTGGAGCAGTCCCAAGGCTGGCCAGTTAGTTCATTTTGGTTACAGCATAACGCAGATAACACCAAGGTCAAGGGTTTTGATCCCCTTACCAGCCGGCTGCCAAAACACCCCCAAACAGACTAAAAAAAAAAAAAAACAGGAACAATCCCAAATTATTCTAATCAATGCAGGCATTTGCTGTTTATTGAAGGAGAGACGTTGAAGCAGAGGACGTGGCCGCGTGTGTCAGCGTGTGGGGAGGACGCGGGTGTGGCAGTCGCCACCCGGGTGAGGAATGCACCAGAATGAGGACAGGTCTGAGGAGAGCTGTGCTCCGGGCAGGCGTGACGGGCGGAGGGCAAAGAGGCCTGGGAACTCCAGTGCGGATGTGACCAAACGTCACCCTCTCTTCCCTCCGGCCTGGGCGAGGCTACTCATGAAAGAGAATGTGGGTAGGGCTGAGGCAGGGGACAGGGACCTGGAATGGCCAGAGGGGGAAGGATCAGAGGCGTGTGGCAGCCGGGGCCGGTGGTCAGGCCAACTGGAGGCCAGGGGAGGGGAGTCCTGAGAAGGAGAAGGAGCGGGTCCTGCCTGCTGGGAAGTCACCTCCTGGCTGGGAGCCCAGGCCAGGGATCCAATGCCCCAGAATACCACAGCCGGACAACATGTGGGGGCTTGTAACCATCCACAACCTGCCACCAGGACAGGAGTTGCACACAGTGAAGGCTCCTGCTGCAAACAAGCAGTAGCCACCGGGCCAGAGCAATGGTCAGGGTTGGCCCGAGGCATCGTGCGGCTCTCTACCAGGTCACACACTAGCCCACAGGCTGGCACAGTGCAGGACACACGGAAGGGGCCCCAAGAAAGCCCCTGATGTCCCGTGCACTGCAGCCTCAGCCATGACCAGAGGGAGTGGCCCACGCTGCCCCACGTGCTCTCTCCTCCCAACAGCCACCTGCAGGAGTCTCTGCCAGCTGTGGCAGCTGGAACCAGGCCCCACGGCACAATCTCCGCCGGCCCCCAAGGCCTGAGTTAAACCAGAAAGCACATGGCTTTCCACCTCTGGCCAGAGCCCACATCTGGGAGAAGCCATAGAACTAGGAGTCAAAGGTAAAACAGCCTAAAACAGCAACCCGCACACGGGGCTCAGGAGCAAGGCCAGGGCAGTGGGTGGGGGTTGTCCACACACCTCTTCTCTCAGCAGCAGACAAGGTGGGGCAGACAGGTGAGCAGGAGGTGGGGACAGAGGAGACACTTAGCAGCCACTGGTGAGGAAGCGTTAACAAAGCCCCATGCAGCAGCGGGAGCAGCAGCCGGGATCCAGGCGCCGGGCAGGGGGCAGCGGCACATTGCAAGAATAAACCCTCGGGGCCAGACGCCGATGCAGTGCGTTCTCTGGAGACAGCCCGCCCCGGGGGCTGCAGGAGT